TCAGCATATTGCCCATAATGAAGTACAAATCTCGTATCATTCTTTTCTGGGAATACAGAAATTGATCTAAAACATTGATCCAAATGAGTAAAACGATTGGAGAAAACACGTAAAGCAGCAACTTTTAATTCTTGATTTAAAGAATTAAAATTTGGGAAACAATCTGTTAACTTTAAAGAGAGAAGTTTAAATTAAAATTAAATTAAGTACCATTGAATACATTAATGAAATACAACCTCTTTCCATTTTAACATATTCTGAATGTTTTACTAGTCGATACTAAAATAATTAGAATATTTAATAAAAAAATATTTAAATTTGTCTGAAAATATTGAAAATACTTTCCCTTAAAAATAATTATTAAAAAAAGGAAGAAAAAATAATTTTTTTCAAGTTTTTAACGGTTTACATACAAAAAAAAGAAGTTAAATTCTTTTAAAAATTAAAAGAAAACCTGTTCCCCAGAGAATATACTATCTGGATACATAACTGTATATAACGATTTCTGTGATGCCTGAAAATTTCTGTATCCATCAACTAAACGTTTAAGAATTGAATTTGAAGAAGTTGAAGGAACTGGACAGGGTAATAATGCAAATGCCGAATTATTCTTTAAAAAAATATTTTTTTTTAATTTAAAAAATCAAAAGAAAACCTCTCCTCCTCCAATTAATTTATTTTCAAAATTATTTTGAATAGGCCAAATATTTTGGGGTAAAGCAATTTTATTTAAACTACTTGCATTAATTCCAATAGGGGAATTGCTGTTTTTTAATAAATGTTCGGAATTTAAAGGGGAAATTATTGGGTTCTCTTTAATTATTCTTCCAAATGCTGTTTTAATGTCATTATTATTTATTTCTTCTTCGTCATTATTAACCGAAGATTTATTAATTACATTTCTTTTTCCAATTGGGTCTCTATTCATTTGAACATCTTTTTAAAAAATATATATTTAGTTAAAAATTTAAAGAAATAATCGAACAAACTCGAATTCTATCCCTATCCGTTAAGGACATTCTTATTATAGAAAAAAGTTAAGTAAACAATTTAACTTCAAAAATAAAAAAGGCTATCTGAAGGGAAGTACAATGATGTTAGTGGACTCCCTTTCGTTGTACTATATTTATTTTTTTAATTTTAAATAAATATATGCCACACGGAAATTAAGTAAAATTAAGGGAGGAAGACTGACCGTTTTTTTCATATTAAGGAAAAATATGTAGAAGATTGACTAGTGTAAGGAAGCAGGAAAAATATATTTACGCCCCTCCCTTCAGATAGGACTCAAAAAATTACCTTCCTTATTCATCCCCAACCGAATACACCGTTCAAACCGACAAGCTCTACACATATTCCTCATTTCTTTAAAATATTTTTTAAAAACAAATATCCTCCTTCCAAAAAAACCTTTTTTAACCGGACATTGACCATTTTGTCTACAAAAATAATTTTTATTTTCAACCACAGTTCGACGAAAAAATGCAGCACAGGCCCTATGAAAATTATTTTTTTAATTTAAATTTAATTCAATAATTACCTGCAAGCCAAAATTCCAAAATGGAATCCATGACTCATTTGCCCACAAATTAAACATAATTTGTTTTCTGTAGACTGATTATTATTTGAAATTAAATTTGTTTCATTTCCAGTTGTTGATTCGACTAATAAAGATTGTGTGGGGAATTTTGAGGAATTAGTTGATAAATCCATCAAAAATAAGAAAATATTTTTAATTTATTTCTAAATTAATAATTTCTGTCTACTAAAAATAAAAATGAAAAATATTACTAGAAAAGCAATTTTATTCTTCTGTCACATTAAATAAATACTCACAAACTACAAACAAATAAAAATTAATTTGTAGTGTGTACATACTTAATTCTATTGAATTCATATAAAATACAAACTACATAAATATTAACGTCAAATAAAGTAAAAGAAAGGAAATAATTTTTTAGATAAATAATTAAAAAGAATAATTAAAATAAAAATTAAATTGAAAAAAATAAAAAAATATTTTTTTTTAAATTTACGAAAGAAAAGGGGTAAAATTTTCTAATACAGTCAGTTCTCTATTTTACACTGGGAGGCAATATTTTTTTCACGTACAAGTTAAATTTAGTTTTTTTTTCATTTTTGTTGACATTGAGATTTATTTTTGTCTACTTTTATTTTAGAGAGGGAAGGAAGGAAAATTGGATGACTACAAAAATACATACTAGAATCTACAGTAATGGAATAATTAATACATTTTTAATGTTGCCACTCCGTGGGGGATAAATGCCTAAGCGATACCCCTACCTCAGGGTACCCCTCATTATTCAAAATAAATCTCTATCACGTATTTATTCAAATAGAAGGGGACTAAGGATGGCGGTTCCTGGGAAATTTTCGTATATCCGTTGGTTTTTCGATTTCGAATACTCGGAACCAGAGATGGGCGAAAATAGAATTTTGCCCTCAACGAAACGAAAACGAAAAAAATAAAATCATTAATGTACGAAACGAAAACGAAACGAAAATACTTTTTCAACGAAAGACAAAACGAAAGAAAAACGAAAATAAATTTTCAAACGAAACGAAACGAAAATTTTCGCCCATCTCTGTCCGGAACCGCCAACCTTAGAAAATCCATTCTATTTTTCAACTTCCATTCTAATAGAACAATCTCTAATAATCTCTCTCTCATTACTTCTCTCAATTGTTATCATTAAAAAAGAAAGGGTGTTGTTTAACACTTGAAGTAAAAGCTAATAAATTTTTTTTTTCCAATTTAGCAATTCTTTTATCTAAATTTCTAATATTTTCCGGCCAATTATTAAAATTTCTTAAATCTAAAGGATTTTCAACAATTTCCAAAATAAATTCATAAACAAAATTGTGACATCTAAATAATTTATTCCAACTTCTTTTATTTATTATTTTAATTGCTATTTCCTTAATTTCTGTCATTTTTAATTTTTTTGTTTTTATTTTTTTATTTAGAGGAAATTCTTCCTTAACATAATAACCTCTAAATTTACTTTTCTCTATATTATAATTTTCGCTTTCTATTTTTTCTTCCATATTTTCGTTTATTATATAATTTGTTTGATGTTTTCTATCATAAAAATTTAAACCACCACTATTAAAGTGAACTTTAAAAATATTTTTTTTTAATTATAAAAAAGGGGAATTAGGACTTATATGTATATTAAAGTTGCGTCATATGTATCTCTGACGTGTGAAACTTGGAGTAAGAAATTTGATGAGGAAAAGATTCCTTTCAAAAAGACACTTGGGAGGAGGGTGTAAATTTAGCCTAGGTCTAAGCAGGGGTGAACAAGTTTCGCCTTTCGCCGATTTTCGCCTTTTTTGGACTTTCGCCCTTCGCCCTTCGCTTTTTAAAATCACTTTCGGCACACCCCTGGTTGTCAGCGAGGTTCTAAGAATTCGACCTCGGTTTTGAGGTCAGCAAATCAAAATTCGAGGTCGAAAAATTAGCTAGTTCCTCGGCAACGGTAAGGCTTCGACTTTGTGGTACGTTACTTTAAATTCTAACTAATTACAAAAAATATAATCTAAAAAGATTACATCTTCCTTTTTCTTCACCAAAATTATTAATTAAAATAGCCATTGCATGCCCATCTATATTTAATTTTAAATAATGATTATCTCCTTGTTCTTCATTAGGCATTAGCCATCTTTTGTTATTTTTATTTAATTCTTTTATTAATTCTAAAATATTTCTTTCTTCACCTTTTTTACCCAAAGAACAATTTTTATTAAATTTTATTTTTCCACCTTCTATATCTTTAAAAAATATTATTTTTTAAATAAAAAATAATTTTTCTAATTTTTACATTTAACATCAATTCCATTATAAACCTTTAAAATATCTTCAATAAAAATAATCGAATCTTTTTCAAATTCAGTATCTTTTATTTTATGATCTTGTAAAATGTAAACTTCTCCACCTTCATCTTAAAAACAAATATTTTTTAATTATTTAAATTTATCCCCCAAACTAGCTTAAAAACTAAATTTAACTAAAATTCAAAATTGCCCCCTATTCATCTTTAAATTAAAATATCTGTACAGATTTTAACTCCAATTTGAATTAAATAATTTAATCTTTCTTCAGTCCTAAAAAATTTTGAAAACATTCCATTTGCATTAGTTTTAATTAATAGAAAAATATAAAATAATAAGCATTGTTTTAAATACATTTTTATTTATTTAATCGAAAAAGAATATATTTTGATTGAAAATTAAAAAATAATTTAAAAATATTTTTTTTAATTATTTTATTAAAAATTGATTTTTACTTCCGCTTTATATACAATCAACTACTTTCATATAAAGTTAAAGTGCAAATGCACTAATAACCTTTTAATAAAGACACGAGTTTAATTTAAATTAATTTTATTTCGAAATTTATTTTTTTAATTAAAATTAAGAAAAATCTCTCCTAATTACTTATTAAAAATTTCTAATTTTAAAAAATAACTTTAATATAAAAATTCTTTTAAATTTCAATTATTCATTAATCTACACTCCGTTTCTGATTAAACAAACGTCTACTTTTCATTATTTTTACTAAAAAATATTTAAATGAATTTTTTATTAAATGCAATTTTTAAAAAATAATAAAAGTTAAAAATGCGAAAGAAAAAGTTTAAGGTTATTGCAAATATTAAAAAGATTCAAAAATAAAAATTAAATAAAAGGTCTTTTCCAAAATTTTCGAAAAAAAAATAAAAACAAATCGACGTTTTTTGAACAGAAATTTCTCCCAATCCTGTCTCGAGCCAATTGTAATTTAGTTATACAATCGAGCCTCACTATAACGTTATTGACTTTAGATAACTCTCCCTTTAGTGTAATTTTTAGAGGAGTTTTTTGATTGGTGACGCTATAGTGAAGTCCGATTGTAATGAAAATTTTTGAAAAGATTCTTTTATTTTTTTGCACTGCAAATACTTTTTTTCATAAAAATTCAAAAAGATTTAAAGCGTTTAATAAGATGCTGAGGATGAACTTTCTCTGGCAGTAATATATTTACTGCTATTACTACTTGGAGATGTATCATGTTTAACTGATTCTTTTTGGTTCCTTTCTTCAATTTTAATTTTGTTTGTTGTATTGGGTTGTGAATCTGTAAATTTCTTTGTTAAATTTAGAAAGCAAAAGAAAAAACAATTTTTTGTTAAAAACAAACATTAGAAAATCTCTAAAAATAATTCTCAAAAAATACCTTCAATTTTCCTTCCATGTCGATCAGTTTGTGTTAACGATCTCTTTCTCTGTTGAATGTTTGGATTGTTATTTGAACTTGATTGTTTTTTCCCAATATCATCAGGTGGACTTGCTGTTCTCGAAGAAGCTTCAGAACTTGGACTAACTGTTCTAGAAAATTCAATAGCATTTAATGCTCGTTTGGCAGTTGGAGAAAATGGTGGAGGATGAAGTAATTGTTCAGAAGCACTAACTACAGAAATTTTTGGACTTTTGTTGGCAGTTATAGAAGAATGGTGTTGATCAAAATGCCGTCGATTCCGTGAATTATTTGTACCAATATCATCTAAAAATTAAACTATTCACATTTTATAAAAATTAAACAAACAAAATTTTTTGTTTTTGCTATTTGGTGAAAATTCGTTAACATCAGGAAAGGAGGAACAACGTTTTAAAGCAGTTCCCTCATAACCGAAATAATTTATCCAGAGAGATTGAACTAATTCTGTGCCAAAAATAACTAAAAAAATTAAAAAGAAAATTATTTTTTTAATTTATTTTATTCTTCTTTTACCACCAGTATGAAGTGTAAGTAATCGAATTACAAAGAGGCCATCAAGACGTAAATAATCATTAATAAAACGTTCGACGTCCTTTTTACTTTCTAATAAATAAAAATTATTTCGAATGTTTCACTAGTTTTAAAGAGTAAATAAAGATTTATTTAAATTTGTGTTAAAAAAGAATTTCTTAAAATCCTTCGAAATTTCTTTCACCCCCCTCCCCCTCTCCCTCACGCCTACAGGCCAAATAAAATAAAATCCTTGCCATAAGGATCAAAAGTCATTTCACACATTTCCAGATGCATTGCAATAAATCGACGATTTGGCCAAGGGAAAATAACAACACTTAACCAAAAAAGGAAAGAACCAAAAGTTAAAGTAAGAAGGCATAAATACCTAAAAATGAATTTTAAATTAATTTAAAAAAATTAAATACCAAAACCAAAGGAGGACAAAAATCTAAATTAAAAATAATTAAATTTTATAACCCTTCCTTTTTTAAAAACCTTTTCATTAAAAATATTTATAACTAGAACACACTGAATTGTGTAATCTTGTAAATTACCCATCACTCTGACCTTTTGAAAAAAGTTAAATTAAAATTCGTGTTGGAAAACCTCAAAATCACAAAGAGAAACACGAGGGAAAACTCCACTCTGTTCCCAAGTTGTACCATTTAACAAATCAAGTAGTGCCCCAAATCCATAAAAAGAGTATTTACTTGTCTCCAAAAAACTAGAAAAAAAAAGTAAAAATTGTTTCCAATAGAGAAAAAGTTAAGAGAACAAGTCCAAAGGTAAATTAAGTTTTAGTACTCGTAAAACATAAAATTGCAAGTGTTAATTGTAAAAATTTTCCACGAAAATTACGAATCCTTTCGAAATTCGAAAAAGTTGATTAGACTGGTTTCAAGTCTATTTTTGTTGTTGTTACCAGGCCCGCAGGCGTCTTATCTACCAATAAGATTTTCAAATAAAATAATATTAGAGCTGACTCATCGAAATAACAAAAGCCAAATTCGACAAATCCTAAGCTCTAATAAAACCTTTCCAAAATTTATTAATTAAAACTTAACTAACCTATTCATAATTAAAAGTTGAGAAGAAACATTAAAAAGATAACAAAATTTTGTTAGCAAATAAATAACAGTAACATAAGAAGCAGAATATGGCAAATTAAAAAGGCGAACAATACGATGTGGGCGAATTTGGTGTTTCTTTAAATGTTTATGAAAACGAAGAGCTCCTTGTAAATGAAGCTTAAAAAAAATAAAAATTTTTAAATAAAAAACATTTGAAAAATTTACAGTCATGGCACGTATATTAGCTTTCCGAATTTCTGGTTTTATGTTGTTTGGATCAGAAGACATTTTAATTATTTCACTAATTTTTATGCCTAAAACTGGGAGAATAAAAATATAATTAATTAAGTAAAGAATATTGACCTGAATGCCCTGACATGTAAGACCAAAGAAGATAGGGAAGACGAAAACAGGCAGCCTCCAACAGAAGAAAAAATGGAACCTTTTGAAAGAAAATAATTAATTGTTGGTTGAGTAATAGCTTACCCATTGGTAATAGCTAATTCTCCTCTGTCCCCTATCGACTTTAGAAATATTCTCTACAAAAGTAGAAGGTGCTACAAAATATGTATCCTATAATTATTTAAAAATGATTTTTAGATTAACAAAAAAATTTACCTGCGCCCAACAATAATTCTCTGCATACTAAAACTTAAAAATAAAATGTTCATTAAGGTAATTCAAAAACCTGTTCCCAAGCACCAGAAAAAATATCTGGAACGAGACACTCAATTGGCTTCCCTCCAAATTGCTAAAAATGTGGAAAATAATTTTAAAAAATTTTAAATTACTTTAAAACTGATAAGAATTGAGAGACCAATCAGCAAATTCGTAGTGAAATAGCTATGTAACCGATCAACAAAATCCCGATCGTCCGTCTCCGACACATAACGCATCATCGCGAGGACCTACAAGTTATAACATTCATGATATTTAAAATTTTAATAATTTAAACTAACCGTTGTCAACACCATTTTGCTGTAGAATATTAGTTGCGAAAATAATTAAAATGTACTAAAATAGACAAAATTAGTTAATAAACATTAAAAGAAACAAAAATAAATTTAGTTTCTTCTTATCTTAAAAAAACAAAGGACAATAAATTACCTCAGCGAATAATCAAAAAAAAGTAAAAAATTATTTAAAAATAATTTTTGTTACAAAAACAAAAATTTGCAAAAAATCAGACATTTTATAATGTAAAAGCAATATATTTAAAAATTGTTATAGAATTTACAGGAGAATGAAGGGAATGCGCCAAAGAATTTAAAAAAACTAAACAAATTATTTACTACTAGCTGTAAATTATACTTTGAAAAAATAAAGAATATATTTCTTATTGAATTGTGAGCTCAAAAATATATTAAAAATTTTAATTTATTTCAAGTTCTCAGAGTTAAATGACAATAATAAAGGTTTTTTTTAGATATTTTTAGACTCACAATTATTCAGAGTAAATTAAAGATTACCAAGGACGTAGCCAGAGGGGGGGGGGGGCTTCTGGGGCTATAGCCCCCTTTGAAATGGAGAAAATGAAAAATTTTTAGGAGGGAAATGAACAGAAAAGTGAGTTTTTTACGCCTACAACCCCAAAAATTTTAGCCTGCGGCACTAAAAATGTAAGAAATTTGGATTCTTGGCCTTCCAAAATTAAGAAAGGCCAAGTAAACACCAAAATTTTGGCGCACATCCCATTTTAGCCCCACTGAAATTGACCCCCTGGCTACGCCCCTGAAAATTACATAAATTTAAAAAGAATTTAATATTCTTCTCTTTATGTCAATTTATTTTTACAATTTAAAAGAATGAAGATTTTAAAAGTAATTATTTAAATATTTGTTTTTAAATAATAGTACAAAAGTAGAGAGATGGAAGTGACCGGTGATTTGTTACATATAGCTTGAAAAAACAATGACACTCAATAAAAATAGAAGAGAAAGCTAACTGAGATTGGTGGTTATTATTTTTATATTTGTTTTTTAACTTCTCTCAAATTCATAAAAAGTTAAAGTCAAAAAATATAGCCAGTTAGCAAACCAAAAAGTAGACAAAACTTAAATTTTGAAAAAAATTTTAAGCATCGATTTTTAAAGGATAGGAAAAATTAATACTCACTGGAAATTAACGAGCAGTTTTTGAATGTTGAATTAACCATTGCAAGGTTATATCTAAAAACAAAAAAAATTAAGTTTTATGAATAAAGCTTTGGCCTTCTAAATAAAGTCACCAAAAGACCTACTCCAGTTTTTTAATTCTATTTTTGCTTTTTAATAACAAATCCCCCCAATCCGTCCAAATCCATCTTTATCCTTTTAATCCGTCCATATCCCGTGATTATACTTATGAAGGAAAAGTAGGTCTTTTTGGTGTAGGTCTTTTGGGTGTAAGTCTTCTGGGGTGGAATCAATAAATTCCCTAGAAAATTTAAAAAATAACGAAAAAATATCAATTTAAATTTAACAAATAGAAACATTCTAACAAATCATTCAAATAAATTACCCAAAACCAAAAAGGTGGTAGGAAAGATTAGAATATATTGAAAAAATTATTTGAAACTAACCAATATTAGACTTTTCCTTGCAAGAGATCGAATAGCAACAAATTTCGCGGTTTTGAATAGTAGAAAGATTCATCTGTTCAATTAACTGTCCCTCATCTAAAGCATCAGGCAAATCCTTTTTATTTCCAAGAACCAAAACGGGAATTGCCTCCAATTGGGGCTTATCCAAAAGTTGAATTAATTCACTTTTTGCCGCTTCTAATTTGCCCTGATCTGCTGCATCGACCTTTAGAAAACATTTTTTTGAAAATTATAAAAAAATAAACCATAAAAACAATAGCGTTTACACCACGGCAATAACGTTCCCACATTGACCGAAACCGTGGTTGACCTCCAATATCCCAAAGCTAAAAGAAACGAAACCGTTTTTATCTCAAAATTTAAAACCTTTATAGTAACATTCCCTTTCGTTATCTTTCGCATATTGAAACCAACAGTTGGAATCATATCCTCAGTAAATTGCCCGCTCTAAAATTTGTGACAAAAATGACAAGGAAAAAGTTAAAAACAAACCGCAATAACATTAACAAAAGTTGTTTTTCCCGAACCTTGTAAACCAACAAGAGTCAACTCCATTTCTTCTTTCCAAAACAAGGAACGAATCCAATCAAGCAATTTGTTAATCATTGTAACAACACCAGCCATTATTAAATTTTTATTTTAATTTATGTTTTGAATAAATCTTAAACGTTTTAAAGTCAGACTTTATGTTAGAGGTCGGTAAAATCGCATTTGCAGGATCCTGTAACAGGATTAGGTTTTAAAATTTCGAACAGGACAGGATCCTGCAGGAATAATCCTGACAATCCTGAAAACTGAAAAAAAGGCTGAAAATCCTGTGCAGGGTCCTGTCCTGTGCCGACCTCTAATTTATGTATTAAAAAATAATTAACAAATTTAAAAGAAAATGTGCAGAAATTTTTAAGGTAGAGGACATTTGCCGAGTTATTTCGCCGATTTAGGCAGTGAGTAATATAGGCAGTGATTTTGGGCAGTGGGCGAAATCACCATAAAAAATTTTTTTATTAAATTTTGTTGGTGCAGGTTAGAAAAGGAAAAAAGGTTAAAGAATATTAGAGACTGTAAGAAAAGTAAAGATTTAATTACAGAGAAAAAAGTATAAATAAGAAAAGGAAAATATTATTTATTTTTAATGTTCTCTTATGCATGTTTGCTAAATGTCTATTATTTATTAATAAACTTTTACTTTTTCCGAATATTTTCTCAAAGGAATGCGTTGTCCAAATTAGCTTGTTCTTATTTTTGAATGGGAGTTTTAACTCCCAAATAAATATTTTGTTATGTCGTGACCGGACAATCCGTGGTTGAACAAATTCGTAATTTTTATCTCTGCCCAAAATTTTCATTTTTTCGTGTGGGGATTATAAGAGATATCGGGAATTTGGAGATTAATGAGGAAATCAGCAAATTTGGCTAGATTAAAAGAATAGTGATTTGTGAGATATCGGGGATTTCAAAGGATATCGTAGAATTTAGGGTCTTACAAGAGATTTACTGCCTAAATCACTCACTGCCTATACATATTACTCACTACCTAAATTTATATTAGCAAAACCATCTCTCCAATAATATTCTTATTTAATTAATATGAACTAAGACAGCTTAATCTAATCAAAAAGAAATCACCAAGTGGAAAAAATTGAAATGAACTTTATAAATTGTAAATTCCAATTAAAAATAATGCATTAATAAAAAAGTTTTATTAATAACTAGAAAAGGAATGTGTAACAATTAATAAAAAATGAAAAGCTGAAAAATTCTTTTAAAATTTATTTAATTCTTGCATCACCCAAGAAATAGTTTAGAAAACGATCGATCAGAAAACAACAAAAAAGATCTCCTATTATGCAAAGAACCAAATTATTTCGAAGAAGTTCAGGTATATGAACAAGTTCTAAAAATTACATATTAGAAAATATATACTTTTTTAAATATAAATTTTACCAAATTTATTATTCATTTCTGGGGCTATATTTGATGCAAAAGCAACCATGACTAGGAAGGAACAAATTATTGAGTAGAACATTGGGCGATTTTCTAAATATTTTAAAATTTATCTCGAATGAAAGGAGTCCAATTATCAAGGTTAAAAATATATCCCAAATTAACAATAAGTCAAAATAATTGAGACATTATTTAAATAATTTTCACAAGTAATTTTCTCTTAAAAACCTGTTAAACTTTCCATGAAAGGTTTTCCACGATAATTTACTGCAAATGTGGCTATTTGAAGTGTTGACGACATTAAATAGACGGCAGTATTTAATAAATTTGGTTTGAATTCTTTCTCGAGATCGATATTTTTTGGTCTTAAATTTAAAATTTTAATTTAAAAAATAAAAAAAAACCTTTCTTCTAAATTATGTGCTAATTTAACAATGTGGATTAAACAGGCAAAATGTACAGAAAATTGTAAAGTAATTGTTGTTAAAGTATAAACATTGAAAATATTGGCCATTGGTCTTTGTTTGGAAAGCGTCCTTAATGGTTTTGAGCGTGAAATGAAAAGAAAACAAGCAGCCAAAAAAATTCCTTGCACAGTTGCCTTAAAATAAGAAAAATAAAACAGAATTTTATTTAAAAATAACCTGAGTATCAGAAAATTTAACTCCATCCAAATAAAGTACACTTTGACTATATGCGAGAACTAGAGCATTGAGTGCAAGAATTTTAAACATTTGCATTGTTGTAACCTTTAAAATTAAATAAATTAAATTTAAAAATAATTTTAACAAACCAAAGTACACCTTCCTTGTTTAATTATATTGCAAACTTTAAAAAATTGTTTTCAAAATATAAAAAATTAAAAAAAGATACTTGACTGAATAGAAGTTGATTTTGATGTAAATGGAGCAGCATAAGAAGCATCACCTAATCGTACCTTAGCTTGTTCTTCTTGTTCCATTTCACGCATCATTTGATCCAAACGATTCTTAAAAGACAAATTTTAAAAACGAATAAATTTTGAGGGCTTTTTTACCTGCATCTGACTTTGACGAGTTAAAAGTTGTTGACGACCAGATCCTTTGGCTTCATTTCTAGATACAATATTCGAAGGTAGATTCACAGGAAGTTTCTTTACAGTTTTTAAAGGATTTGAAACATCATTTTCAGTCATTGTCGGTTTGTTTTCAATTGATTGTGGTGGTTTTTCTTCGTTTTTAATTGGATGTGAAAGAAGTGCAACCCCAACTTCAGAATGTTTTAAAGCTCCAACATCATTTGTTCTAACAAATTTTTTAAGACTTGTTAGTTAATAATTATAAAAATAACTAACCCATCTCCACACATCAGAGTTACAAATCCCATACGTTTCAATGAATTTACTGCCTTTTCTTTTTGTTTAGGTGACATTCTAGCATAAACACGAACATTTTCAAGAACTATAAATTACATAGCTATACTTTAATCTTATTCTTACTTATTTTAAATTTCCAAGATTCAAGAGAATCATGCAAATTTTCAAAAGAAGAGCCTGTTAAACAAAGTTCGAATTTTCGGTGACGAGCAAGTAAGTGATTTTTGGTTAAAAGAACATCTGTTGTCAAACTTGTTGTACCGTCAACTGAACGCCAAAGCCATTTATCCTGACTATTTTGATCTTCTAAAAATAAGCCAAAATTTAAAAAAATTTAAAAGAAAAACCTATTTGATCCAAAATTAACGCCACTCTATTTTTTCGAATAAATTTTAGTTCATTTGCGACATGTAAAGCAGTCAAAACATTATCGCCTGTGATCATTACAACCTGAATATTAACAAAATAAGTATAATTTTTATGTATCAATTTACCCTGTGTGAAGAATCGATTATTTCTCTAATCATTGACCGAGTATCCGACTTCAAAGGACATGAAACAACGGCAAAACCAGCAAAACTAAGTTCACATTCAAATTCATTCCTTTATTTATTTATTAACTAAAATAACATTAAAAATGAATAAACCTGGGAGTTTCACGAATCTGTTGCGTACTCAAAGGACCAAGTTCTCTAATCCCCAAAGCAATAATGCGAGCACCTGCCCTAGCAAGACTTTGATAATTCTCATCATATGAAGGAGGCAATTCATGAAACTAGAAAAATACAAAAATAATTAAACAAAATCCCAAACCATTCCTCGAAGGATTTCTGGTGCTCCTTTCACTGTAACAATACAATTTGTTGTAGTTTGACCAGAACTTTGATATGCAGAAATAACTGTCATTCGTTTCATTTGACTTGAAAAGTGAAAACGACGAAGAATTTTAATTGGAGGAACCTTTGTAGTTTTCTTTATGGGAATAACAGAATCTTCTAAAATAAAAAAAAACTTTTTAAACAATAAAAGATATTAACGTTTTGTAACATTCCAATCAAGCCATTTAAGAATTGCCTTCTCTAAAGGATCGCCAACTAATTCCTCATCAAAACGGACTAAAGAATGACATGAAGCAAGAGCACGAACAGAATTTAAATCACAATTAGAAGGTAAACGAACAATAGAAACATCATTCTCTGAATTATTTGAGGAAGTATTGTCGAGTACTTCAGAGGATTCACTAAATTAAAGTTTAGTTTAATTATCTCAATTACAAAAAACCTCTGTATAGGAGTTAAACCGGCAACTCCTTCCATTACTAACTCATCTGTTGTTAACGTCCCAGTCTTGTCAAAACAACAAACATCAATTTTGCCAGCAAAAGGAATTCGAAAAGGTTCAGTACAAAATATCCCCAATTTTTGTAAAGCAAGTAATGAATTATTTACAGCCAAAGATAATTCAATTGGTAATTCTGGTGGGATTACACTTGTTAAAATAAGCACACATTCCAAAAATAATTTATAACGAGAACGATTTTCATCTTCAGTTCCTATTTTGTAAAAATGAATTTAAAAAAGTAAATTATTAAAAAAACCTTTAATCCAAAGATATGCGGAAGCAGCGATAGCAAAAATTAACAGAAAGAGAATAAAGGCAAATGTTTCCAAATTGTTAGCACTAACTCGTTTCACGCCAAACTTTAAAAAATAAAATTAAAAATAATATTTCTTTCTAAAGTAAATGAGATTCTGACCGAAAGAGGCTCAATGACCGAAACATTGTGAGTTAAGTTAATAATTACAGAATACCTAAATTAATACTAGTCCTAGTCAATTACTAACAAGCAAGGCTTATTTTGAATAATTAAACTTTTAAGGAAGGTTCATAAAAATTCTTAATTTTAACCTAAACAATTAACCAAGTCATTTTTACAACTTATTTAAACTTTAAAACAAACCATAATAGTTCTCAATAAACTTCCTTGGTTTGTATTAAATCCAGTTCTCAAAACATAACAAATAACACCATTATCAGGGGCTTTTGTACCTGCCTCATTTTTTGCTAAACTTTTTAAAAATAAATTTAAAAAATAAAGAAAACATACCCGGAGGTGTGTGTTGAAGAATTTTAGTTCCTCCAAACAAAACATGTAAACGGCTATCAATATTTGAATCAAAAATTCGTTCCCTTTCCAATTCTTCAATTGATTCTTTCATTTGAGGAATAGATTCTCCCGTCAACATTGCTTCATCACAAATTGCATGACCTCTCAATACTTAAAATATTTTTAGAATTAAATTAATTAAAAAAATTAACAAACATAAAAGATCGCAAGGAATTGATTTTTCTTCCCCCGCCTTTGTTGAAGTAATTGAAATTATATCGCCACAAATTAATTGATCTATGTAAAGAATAAATGTTAAAATGCCAAAAAATATTTAAAACCTGAAGATAGTTTATTCCATCTCTTCCCACGATAAACATTGACCAAATAAGGCTGTGAACCCATATTTCTTAAATTAAAGAATTTTTAGAAAAAATTTTTCGAAAGAATAAACCTAATTTCTGACATATTACGCATTTGTTGTTTAACAATTGTGACCTAGATAATAATGGAAAATAAAAGTAAAATTTTTTTGGAAAATTTATACCTCAAATGTCACCAACATGAAAAGAGTTAAAAGAGAATAATACCACATATCTTCTAAAAAATATTTTTAGAATAAAAATCAATAAGTTAAAAAAATTGTTGGTAATATTGGACCTGACAGACCCGATTTTTCCCTCGCCAATTTTTCACCTATATTTTCCTCCTTTTATTTGTTTTTGGTTAAAAAATTAAATGATCCTTTTTGTTTGATTATAGAAAATTAGAAAAGCAATTTGGATGGAAGAAAGAAGAAAGTAATGCCGTATTGCATAAATATAGGGGAAAAATGGGCAGAAAAAAGGCTGTCCGGTTCAATATTATCAAATTGTTTATAGGACCACCACCCAATTGAGTTATTTAATTTCCATAAATTTAAGGAATATTTTCTTGAAAAAATTGCGCAATAAAAATGTCAAAATAACTCATTCAAAATTAAAAAAAAATAAATAAAAAAATAAAAATATACCTAAACACCATAATCCAACACAAAATACTTGAAAAATAAAAAAGGGCGCAGTAGCTCTTTCAGTAAATAATTCAGCAAATTTGGGGACTTCCATTTCAACTCTTGTAAAAACAATTTAAAATTTATTCAAAAATTACCTACTTATTATTCCCATATTCAAGCTCTATTTCCTTAACTTTATCCTCATTTTCAATTCCCTTCCAATCTTGAAATATTCGAAAAGGCAAATTTGTATTGAAGGTAATTGCCTTGAACTAAAAAATTTTTTAAATTTTTATTTCATAAAAGACCAACCTCTCCCAATTCTTCATTATATTTATAATGAATTTTTTGAAAACAAAAAGATAAACGTAAATGGTCATTGGGAAGCTAAATTATTTTTTAAAAATTTAGTACAAGTATTAAAAGCAAACCTTTGTTCTAATAAGAGGGACAAATTCAGTCCATCCATTATTTGGTGTCGGTTTAACTTTAACTAATTGTGCATCATTTACAAGATTATTTACTTTTACACAATTTAAAAAAGAATCAACTTCAACAAACCAATAACAAAAAAGTGCAGTTAAAGCCTTTTAAAATATTTTTAAATTAAAATTAAAAAATAGGCTCTAGTTTAGGACATGCGTCCCAAGGTAGTGTATGCGTCCCAAAAAAAGTGTATGTGTGATTTTGGGACGCATGTCCTAAACTCGAGTCAAAAAAGAAAATACCTGTAAAATTAATATTCCAACAAAAATTATACAGCCAAATTCCCAATAATCTTCAAAACCCAGATTTTGCCAAAAACCTAGCCAACAAGCGTGAAAGACCAAAAAAGGAGTCTAAAAATAAATTGTTTAATTTTTTGTAATTTAATTTAATACAATAAAAGCATGCATAAAAATAGGCCGTCTCCGATAAGCGGAAACATTTTCAATAAGTTGATCTATTGCCATAAAATATTTTAGCTAATATTGTAGATAGAGAATAAGCTAAAAATAAAATTTAATTTAATATTCTAAATATGCGAGGCCACGGAACGTCCCACTTGTGTACCGCCGTTTGTGTACCGCCGTTTGTGTACGGCCGTTTGTGTACCGCCACTTGTGTACCTGGCCATTTGTGTACCGGCCGTTTGTGTACCGCCGGTTGTGTACCCACCCAAAGGGGGACGTTTGTGTACCCGCATTATTTTTAGGATTAGGAGGGATTAAAGGGGATATAGTTGCATTCAGAGTGATTAAGGGGGATAATCGAGAGATTTTGATTTGATATTGGGTCAATCCAAATTCAGGAAACGAATTACAGACCCCTAAAAATCCAAAAAAGGGGTCAGATTCAATTTTGGGTAAAAATTTTTTAATTGCAAATGATAGCTCATTCGAAAGGGATCGACGAGATGAGTTGAATGACACCAAAATCAAGTTGATTGAATGATTCTGAACAAATTTTGACCAACAGAATCTTTGCTGGAAAAACTTTTGTGCTGCTATGGAGGGTAGGGGAAACTATCTAAATTACGAACGTAAAAACTCCTTCCTAATTTCCGGACTCCGGCAGAATTTACCTGGATACGGGAGAAAATCAAAATGTGAAAAAAAATAAAAAAATATTTTTTAAAAATTTTATCAAAAAAATTAAAAAAACCAAAGTCTAGCTTCAATTATTGTGGCCAAAGAAGGGCCTTTCTTTCGTTTTTTGTTCTCCTAAGTTCACCACCTTCGTTCCTTCAGAAACTGTGAACTTGAAAATCGCCAGCCAGAAACTGACGAAAATCAACTAAAAAATTTTAAAAATAAAAACTTGAAAAACAAAATAAAAATTCCAAACCTTTTCAAATTTCCCATCGTTGCAGCCGTGGGATGAAGTCCGACAGTGATGAGCAAAGTTTAGACCAACCTGAAATATAAAATCTAAAATTAAAAAATAAAAATTAAACTTTTACCTACACAAGATTCTCGTCCTCCCTCTCGTCCTCATTGAGAAAATTCAGTGCTCGGATGGACTTGAGTGGATGCTCGGTCAACTAATTAACAAAATTAGTTGCAAACCCCAAAAGAAAAACAAAAAAATAAAAAAAAACAATAAAAAAATCTAGGAAAATAATGCGGGTACACAAACGTCCCCCTTTGGGTGGGTACACAACCGGCGGTACACAAACGGCCGGTACACAAATGGCCAGGTACACAAGTGGCGGTACACAAACGGCCGTACACAAACGGCGGTACACAAACGGCGGTACACAAGTGTCCCCTACCGGTGAGGCCATGTATTTCTTAATAAAACAAAGCCGATTTAGCCACGTCTTATTTGTTAGTGCCCAATCGGCCGCTCTCAATGGGTGGCACTCAACTTTCCTTAAAAGGTCGATTCAGAGTTTTCAGAGTCGAGATTCAGAGAACATACCAGTTTAGTACAATTTACCGTAATTTATTGTTTAAGCACCAATCTGAACAATTTATAAAACAATTCTAATAAAGCTCTATAAATGAACTTGTATTTTTTAATTTAGCTGCACCGATCAGAAAAAAAAGTTCAAAAGCTTTAAAATAATAAAGTTTGTCCAGATTGGTTCTAAAAGAAAAGTTATGGTCAAGAATGGCTGGTACTTGCAGACAGTACTTAATTATATGAAGTTAGTGGATGTATAAATAAATTATTAAAAGTTCTATAGTTCTCCCTACATTTTTAAAAATTATTAAATAGTTTGAAATTTTTTATATTTCACTGATCACATTCTTTTCTCTCAACACTAACCCTCCGTTCTTTCAAAAAAATTATTCATCTCGTTCATTCTCCAAATAAGTATACATATACATATTCATATTTTTCAATCCAACTGGTTCTCTCCCCGCATTTTTTTAAATTTCTTTTACTAAAGAACTAATAAAGAAAATACACATATTTTCATTTTTCTGTTCATTTATTCTTTTAACAAATATTTTTCTCTTTTTTTAACTAAATAAATTTAATATTAAATTGCGCATTTAATCGATTTTAATTTTTTGAAGTTTAATTTTTTTTAAATTACAAAAAAATTGTTTAGAATAAAACACGTGGATTTCAGCATTTAAAATTTTATTTAAGCAATATTTAGTTGTTTAAACAAATAAATGAGAGAGAAAAAGTTTTGAATGGGAGAAAAAATAATTTTTAGTTAGAATTTGCCAAAAAATTTAAATTATTTTTTATAAAAATAAATATTTATTTGCAAAAATAAATTTAAATATATGTAAATTATGATATTTTTGGGTTTTTAATTTTTATTTAATTAATTTGCAAAAAAATAAAATTTAAAATAATTTTTTCGCATTTTTCATTCATTCATCCCCTTCTCCAAATTATTTTTAAATTATTTAATTTTTTAATTATTATTTAATCCTTTAACTGAAATCCCTTTAATTTTTTAAAAATTGTTACTTTCTTTACTCCTATAATTTTTATTGACAAATTTTTATTTCTCAAGGAAAGGAGTTAACATAATTTTCGTACTGATTTTTTGTAATATTCATTAAGTCTTCGCCAAACATAATCTGACACACATTTATTTTTTTATTTAGTTATTTAAATCTAAAAATAAAATGTCAATATTATTCAAAATAATTACTAATTTAAATCCCTCCTCCTTTCTAAAAACACGTCTTTTTAATTCGAATAATGGAGAACAACCTTTACTTTGTAGTTTTGTAAATAATGAAGATGAGGAGGAATTGGAAGATTTTGAAATGGATTTTAGGCAGGGAAATGGATGGAAAAAATCTGGTAATTCTTGAATTTTAAGAGAAAAAAATTGGAAATTTTAAGGAAAAAATTGGGGAAAAATCGGAGATTTTAGTGCATTTTAAGTATAAATTATTATCTTTAATAATTTATTTTTTAATTAAAAAAATGTGATTATTCTGTAAAAAATAAAAGGGGAATATTTAATAAAAAGTACTAAAAAGTAACAATTAAATATATCAGCAATTTAATTGTTAATAAAAAATTATTAATAAATAATCAATCGAATTATTTTAACAAATTTTATTAAGGGGATTTAGTACGTAAATTATGTTAAAAATATATTTTTAATCCAAAAAATTATTTTTGTTTTCCCTCTTATTTTATGCAAAATATTTTTTAAATATTTTATTTAAAATAATTATTTTAGTAGAAAATAGTTGTAAATAAAAAATATATATATTAAATGATTTTTAAAAATTCAGAAGATTTTGAAGATATAATAATGAATGAAACTGAAAATGGTAGTGGATTGAAAGAATATTCTTGGCCTAATGGAAAGAAGAAAAAGGTAAATAAATTTTTAATTTAAAAATTAAAAGTGTTTAATTTATTTAATAATTTGTTTTATTCAATGACTGTCCTTCTGAATAATATTTTATTTTTAAATTTAAATTTAATTTAAATCCGAAGGATATCCCAACCCAAGAAAGACCTCTCTAGTAATAACTGCTTTTTATTTTTTAAATTAAAAGTACCCAGCATGTTCATATGTACAACGAAGGTTAGAAACGGGCCTTAATTGGATAACGGCTGCACTTTTTATTATTGCCGATATGGCAGGGGGAGGTGTTGTTGCTATACCTATAGCTTTACTTAATTCTGGTAATTTGCAAATATTTATTTGAAATAATTATTTTTTAAGGTCTTTTAATTGGTTCACTTTCTATTTTATTTATTGGAACAGCTTTTTGTTATACTGCACATCTTCTTGGGGAGGTAATAATTTACAAAACTTCCAAACCTTAAAACTAAAAACACAAAAGACATATGTACCTCTAGTTAAATTCCTGACTTATCCCACCGTTCAGAAAAAGGGGTACTTGTGTAGGCAAGATGGATAGTTAAACTAGAGAGTCAGCTTAATAAAATTATTATTTTCAAAGAATTGGATGACAATGTGTAGACGTTGGCCAGAAGTTTATGGACGTGAACATTGTAGAAAACCTTATCCTGGTAAAAAAATATATTTATTTCTAAATAAAAAAAATAATTAATTATTTATTAGAAATGGCATTTCGTGCATTAGGTGAAAGAGCTCGTTTTTTAACTTCTTGTACTTTAAATGTTATGGTAATTTTTGGAGAATTTTGGAGGAAAAATAATAATTTTATTAAATAAGCTTTTTGGAGTTTCCGTTGTTTATCTTTTGTTGGCAGCAAAAATAACGAGTGAATTATGGGCATCATTTAGTCCATCACACAGTTTTGGTCCCTGTGTTATGACTTTATTTTTGGCTGGGGCTTTATTGCCTGTAACGTTTTTAAAATCTCCACAAGATTTTTGGTAAAGGAATATTCTAAATATTTTTAAAGAAGTAATTAATTAGGTGGGCAGTTGTATCAGCAATGTTAACAACTTGCTTAGCTGTTTTTATAATTTTACTGGGAACATTATTAGATTTACCAAAATGTTCTTCTTTTGCTAAACAACCAAATTTTACTTTTAATAATTATTTCCTTTCTATTGGAATTTTTTTCTTTGCTTTTGGGGGACATGGAGTTTTCCCAACAATTCAACATGATATGAGAAGACCCAGAAATTTTACCCGTTCTTCTTTATTTGCATTTATTGGTTATTTTAAATTAATTAAATAAATTAAATAAATTAAATAAATAAATTATTGAGATTAATTAAATAATTTAATTAATTAACTTAAATTAATCTTTAAAAAATATTTATTTATCAGCTGTTGCTGCAATGTATATTCCACTTTCATATTTTGGTTATTTTGTTTATGGAGATTCATTACAAGAATCAATTATTTCTTCCATACAAACATCTATTCTTCAACAAGTAATTAATTAAATAATTTTTAAAAATAAATTCTTCGTTGCTTAATTCCTCAGTAACTTTTGGAAAGAAAAAATGGAAAATTGACTTATATTTAGATAATTTTTTTGAGAAACCATACTTTCTATTTACCTTTTATCTCTCTTAATCCTTCCTAAAAATTATTTTAATTTTCTTTAAAATACTCTAGTTAGCCAATTTATTAATTGCACTTCATTGTATCCTTACAATAACAATTGTAATTAATCCATTAAATCAAGAAGTTGAGCATTTTATTGATATTCCACACCGTAATTTAATTTTAAAATTAAAAATTATTTTACAAAATTTTCTGACAGATTTTTGTTGGCAAAGAGTAATTATTCGAACTTTTGTAATGCTTGCAGTCGTGTTTATTGCACTAACAGTCCCTAGTTTTGGGCCTATTTTAAATTTAATGGGTGGAACTTGTGGTAAATTAATTTTTTTTAAATCAAAAAAAAAACAAAAGTCAGTTATAATAAAAATGAGATGGATAATGTGTAGTTATAGATTTTTTAGTTATCCAAATGGGAGGCTAAAATGGGGGTAAAATGTGGGGAGAATAAAGGAGTAATCGTGAAAAATGACGTCACCTACATATTTCCTCGAGAGTAGAAAAGTAAGGAACTGGGAAAGTTTAATAAAGGGAAATCAAGATAAATAAGGATATAAAAAAAAGGATAGTTAATTTCAGTAAAGTGAGACAAATAGCCTCACTGTCCCTCTCCCCTTATTATTTTATTATTTACTCAACCAAACAAAAGTCGATTGGATAAACATAAGAATAAGAGCCAAAGAAACTGTGTTCACAAATTATCCAAAAAATATATTTTTCAGTTTCTTTAATATCTGCTGTAATGCCTTGCCTTTTCTATCTTTATTTACACGCATCAGAAGATAAGCCTAACCCAAAATCAAAATTAGAAAAAGATTTACCAATTAATGATCGGCCAGTAACTTTTGTGAAGTAAAATTTATTTTTAATTTAAAATTAAAAATTATTTTTTCTTTAAAGTGTAATTAAAAGAACACCAAAATATACACTTTTAATAAATATTTCTGTTATTGGTTTGTTTCTTAAAAATTATTTAAAAAAATATTAAATACTTTAAAGTAATTTCTATTTTGTGTGGAATTGCTGCAACAAATTCTGCATTTTTAGAATTATCAACTAGTCGATTTAGTGGTCCTTGTTATTTATCCCTTTCTTCAGAAAATAATAAAATAATTAATTCTGTCCAATCTTTACATTGTTGTGGAACTTTTAGAAATATTTCTAGGTAAATTAATTAATTTTTGAAAATAATTTTAATTCTTTTTAAAATTTAATAGATGGCCAGATATATTTCAATGTCCAAGTTATGAACCTCCAAATTAATCTTAAAAAGAATGTGCTAAATTAATATATATATTTATATATAATAATTTTAAATTATTTATATATTTTAATTTTTAAATTTCTTCAATTTTTACTTACATATATTTTAATTTATTTTATCCCTGTGAATATTTTTTTATTTTTTTCTTTAATAAAATTTTTTTCTAAAAACTATTTTACCTAATTTTCTATTTAAATAAATAACAATTAAATAAATATAAAAAATAATGAGCTAACTTCCGGAGAGCTCCAAACCTAAAATCTTAATTTGAAAATTCCAGAGCTTGTTATTAATAAAGAGCGACTCTAGAAATACTATACACCGTAAATACTCTAATAGAAGCCCTGGGCTTGTATTTTTCAATGGGTCTCCTCAGATGGGCTTGAATTAGAGGTGGAATCTACAAGATTTGGGCTTCTATTAGAGTATTTACGGTATGTACAATTTACATAAGAATATTTAATATTATATTTAAAAATTATTTTGAAATTAAAAAAAAATAAATTTAAAAATTCTGGAAAGTGCAAATAAAGTGTATGCATGACAACTAAAAAGACAATTAAGAAATAAATTAATCGGGTCTCTCAATATTTGGTATTCACGTGAATTAAAAATGAATTTAATATTTTTTAATTAAAGGTTTTTATTCATGTGAAATTAAAATTAAATTTTAAAATTTTATTTGGCAATAAAAAGAGAGAAAGAAATGAAAAAAGAAGTTTTTCTATGAAATAATTACTTCTTATGTCAGGCTTGTCTATATTTTTGGATTTCTTTACAAAATTTCCAAATTTACGTAAAGTGATGTAAAAACATTAAAGAAATACTTTCTCTTTCAAAGAAAAGAAAAATTTTCAATGAAATGCCCTAGACAACCCTGTGATTTTTCAAAGGAAATCCCCGTCTTTAATGCCGGCATATGGTATTTCTTTGCCCTTTTAAATTAACGCACTTAAATGTAATAATTAAAAAGTCTAGGATATAAAAGAGGGAAGTAAAATTAATTAAAAACAGAATTAAATTTAATTTAATTAATTATTTAAATAACCTTTTAAATAAAATACCTACATATTATATTCCTAGTCTCAAAATAAACACTCAAAATATTTTTTATGTTATTTATGTTTATGCTTTTGACTCTCGTTAAAATCCCACCTTTAAGGGAATGAACGTATACGAATGACCGCAACTGACCGCAATACTTGTAAATTACAAAATAAAGTCAGTCATAGCTCCAGGCCGAGGCAGAATTTCTCAAATTAACTAGTACTGTAAGAACAGTTAGTTTAAGGATTTGGGCAGTCGATTTAGGATTTAGAGTTTAGTCTGGTTGATTGTTAGGTCAAGTAACATATACAAAAATGAACAATAGGGGAGAGGTATGACATTGCTTTCATTCTTTTATGTGGGAGTACGAAAGTCAAAGGTCAAACTTTTTAATCAAAACTTTTTAAAAAAACAATATTTTTAATAATTTATAGAATAATTCTAAAACAAATTCAAAAAACTTTTTCACTACAAAAAAGACAATAATGCGTCATTGCCGTGCAAAAATTTCTTTTGTAGTGTTTGTTTTCTTTTTGGTTTTTGAGGTTTGGAATTCTTCATTTGCCTCACCTCTAGCAAGTCAACTTTTACCCAATTTAACCCCTCAACATTTGTTGGAAGCAAAGAAATTTAATGAACAAAAAAACAAAATTTCTGCTTCTTCCCAATCCATTTTATACCATCCTGCCATGCCTCCTTCTTCTACACTTTCGAAAACATTGAGTAATCCTACAGCAATAATTGTGGCTCCCCCAAAACCAATTACTATTGAAAAAGAAAATGAAACAATCAAAAAAGAGATTGAAACTTTAAAAATTATGGAAAAAGAGAATGGTTATCTTCCATTGGGGGATTTACTTGGAGATTTTCAATCATATCATATGGATAATTTGCCACAAATTAAAGTTTATGTTGAAGGAAGTAATCAACAATTTGTTATTCGAAAAGTAGAAAAAAGTTATGACATATCTGCTCTTTACTACTTACTTTCCTACTACTTACCTAAAGAAAAAAGTGAAAATGGAAATTTAACAAAAGAAGATGTTATTCAAATTATTTGGGATTTAAAATATGGGAAAATTAATGCTTTGGTTGCTGTACAGACAAATGGTAATAATTATGAATATGGAATTGAAGGCTATATTTTATATAATTATGCGGCTTCAAGTACACGCGGAAAGGTTTGTTAATTTAAATTTTGCTAAAAATATTAATGGAAAGGAGGGAGGGAGGGAGAGAGGAAGAGATGGAGGAAGTGAGGGATGGAGGGAGGAAGTGAAGGAATGTTTTTGTGCAGTCAAGAATTGTGTGAATAAACAAGAATATAAGGGAAATCTACTAGTATCTCTTATAAGCCTGATTTTGGGAGCTGGGAAATACATAAAAGCTCAAAATTACGGAACTGAGAAATGGGAATTGGAAGGATAAGACTACGCAGAGGTGTTGAATAGAGGGATTATAAAATAAAAAAATCTAATTGGGACCTTATCCATCCCTGCTTCATTTATTATCAAATATTTACTTATTTTCTAAATTTAAATAAAAAATATTAACTTTAGGTCATCCATCTTCAGGATATTTTTGTAAAGGAATTGTTCAAGAATAACCACAAACTTGTGATGAAAGGATTGCTTGAAGGAATTATTAAAGTTTGTTTTAAAAAAGTTTTATAAAAATAATTGGCCTATTTAAGGTTTCCAAACAAGTGAATGAAAATATTCCAAATATTTTTTGGACGGCAACAAAGGAGAATAATAAAGTTGGGGAAATATTAAAGGAATTAATTCCAGATGTTAAATTTGGAGTAAGAGATTTGTGGAGATTAGACCTTTCTGCTTTTAAAAATATTCTTAATGCTGATGACGATAATAATATTGTAATTATAATTTAAATTTAAAAATTCTGTGGACCTCCTTCCTTTTTTAATTTTAAAAATAAATTATTAGCTTGTTTAGTAAAGTAAATGTCCCATAATTTTGTTGGGAGGGAAAATAGCTATAATTTAAATCCATAGAAATTCAATCTTGGTACAATGTTAACAAGCTGAATTGAGTAATACTAAAGTTGAAAGGATTTGACTTTAATTACGCTGATGGGATTTATTTAATAAAAATAAAGAGAAGATCTATGAATAATTTTGAAATTTTTTATTAAATAGGAGGGAGCCATCAAAACATTTTAAGTACTAATTTCAAAAATATTTTTTCTTTAGTTGATTAAAGAGGAAGGTGGAATTCGTGTTGAAGAATCTAAACAAATAGCTGAAGATTGGAATTGTATTGTAATTCGCAATAATGGTAATAAAAAATATTTAAATAATTTAAATTTAAAAATTACTTGAAGGTCGCCCTTCAAGTCCAATACTTTCCGATTTAATTAATAATGGCCGTGAAGGGGGAATTTGTGCTTTACGTGCCTCTATTCTCCTCACAAACAATCTTGTTGGGATGGCCTTATATAATTGTGATGCTTATTCTGGAAGTTCTGGGAGATATTTGTGGTTGGATAGACTTTTTGTTGAAAATAGTTTAACAGGGAAAATAAATGGGGAAGAGACAGTTATTGCTATTTTGGCTAAAATGGTTGAGGTAATTAGGTAGCTAAGTAAATAATTAATTAAATAAAAAAAGGTTGCAAATAAAATGAATGCTGTCCGTATTGAATGGACAGATGATTCTAATGAATTGGCTAATTATGAACATTTACTTCATTCTGTAAGTTTTTTAAGAAAGATTCTTAATAAATTACTTTACAGTTAAATATAAAATTAATTTTGTAATATTTTTGAATTGAAAAAGTTTATACTACGGGATGGGATATACGGTTGGGGTCAGACAAGTGCCGCCAACTAAGGGCTGCTAATTGAGAGCTGCCAATTTGGCTCGACTCTCAGTTTCACGCTCTCAGGGCACTCGCCTGGCCCGTTTCGCGGGATATAGTATTTGTTTGGTATTTCATCTTTCAGTATTCACTTTTTGAATTATAACGAATTAAGCCACCCCTACTATTTATGAGAATGGCTGATTAAATAATTTGTTAAATCCCATTCAAGTATTTATTTTGTAACCAAAACAGTTAAATTCAAAATTTAAAGCTCGGTGCTGTTAATATGAAAGAAATTAATGGAGAATTTCTTTATCGTTGGGATATTAATAAATATCATTTGCTTAATGAACCATTGACAGTCGAGAAGAAAGAAAAGAAAGAAAAAGTTAAACAGGAATTTATTCCAAAATATTATTAAAGTGGAAGGGAAGAGTGAAGAATTAAAATTTAAAAAAAATGAAAAAAATTGGGGATTGATTTTTGTAAATAATTTTGTAGTTTTTTAGTTTTGTAAAAAAATATTATTTTTAATTTGTATCACCCCATTTTATGAAGAAATAAAAATTTTTTAAATTAAATATATTTTTTTATTTTTACTCGAAAAATGGTCCAAAGTTTAAAAATTAGGGAAAATCCATGTAAATAACGAAATTCGGCAATTATTTGAGGATGAAAAAGAAGAGAGAAGTTTCTCATTTACCCTATAACTTCAGACTAGCAATCCAACTTTGAACGGCCATAACTCGGCCCAAAGTCATTTTGCAACAACAAGGGATCACTCCACAATAAGTCGAGGGTCCTCTATCGAGTGGTATAAAAAAGATTATCAGATTCGAACTGACAGCAAACGATGTTCCCTTGTAAGAATGGGATGGATACAATTTTTGGAATATTTACTAAATTTCAAAAAATTAATAAAAGTAATTCAAATTTAATTTTCAAAAAAATTGATTAAATATACAAATATTGATGAGGTTATTTTTAATTAAAAAAATTTTTTTAATAATTTAAATTACTTCATTCATTCCTTATTTAAAATTCGAAGGAATTGAAATATTGAAAACAAAATTAAAAGTATCCCCACCCCCACCATTTCCATTTTCATTAAATGGTGAAGCTAAAAAGAAATTTTTTAAATAAATAAAAATTAAAAACTAAACTATTATTATTTGTAGAAAATTTAAAAGGATTGTTTTGTTGTGAAGAAGAAGAATAAAAAATATTTTTAGAATTTAATTTATTTCCAAATGAATAATCAGTAAAACGAAGTTCCTAAAATTAAAAAGTATATTTTTTTATATTTGCTTTTTTCAATAAAATTTTTCCCTCAAAATCACAATTAAATCGCAAACATTTCAAAATTTATTTTTAAAAATTCAACCTCCAAACATTTATTCTCAAAATTCTTCATGGCACTAATACACATCATTTTTTCATTAATTTGTATTTGTTGAGTGTTATTTAGAATTGGTGGTACTTTAAAAATGTATTTTTAATTAAAACCAAAAAATTGAATAAAACCAAAATTTGATTGGAGAGGCTGTTGCTTTTGATAATCTTTAACAGTAAATTGTTGACCATTTAAACCAAAAGCATTAAATTCACCAACTAAAACATTTGCAGTACTATCACCAAAGAGACTCTCTTCAGACTTCTAAAATAAATTAAAAATATTAAAGTAATGACAAGTATACAATCGATGGGATGTCAAAAAGTTCTTTTGGACGTGGTGCTGGTCCATTAACCTTAGATGGAATTCCAAAAAATTCTTTTGGAAGTGGTGGAGGTAAAGGAAGTTCATAAGGCTTAAAAAATATTTTAAAATTTAATAAAAATTTTAAATAAGTGATACAAAATCTTTGAAATATCCAAAATTCGGGTTAACTAGTCCCGGAACACTTTCTGTTGCATAACTTGAACCGCCAGACAAACTAGGCGCAGTTAAAGTAGCAAATAATGTTGGCAGTGTTTTAGAATTAATTGAAGAATTAACACTCGTTTTTGTGGAAGTTGTATTATCTTAAAGATATTTAAAGTTAAAAATTAGAATTGGATAAATTTGTTTTTGGATTATTTTCATTTTATCAAATAATTAGAAGTTTTATTTTATAATTTTTTTAAATCAAACATTTCTGGAATTTTGTTTTTAAATTTCCATGGAAAAAATAGATTTCGAAACAAAATATAAAAAAATTTTCGAACCTCAAAAAAATTATTAGAAATTAAAAAAATTAAAAAATGTCCGAAAACAATTCAAAAAGTCTCTAAATATTTAAAAACCTTTTTGTTTTTGTTCAACATTTGAAGGTCGAAAAAGCGTCGAAATTACCTTCCTTCCCATAAAATAATCAAAATGACGAAGTTCCTTTAAAAAATAACAAATTTAACAAAACAGAACGAAAACTCTGCAAAACCTCCAAACTTTTATCTTCAAATTTCTTCAAAGCACTAATACAAAATAATTTTACACCAACATATTGTTGTACACCCTTCAACACCATAGAATCACTTGCAATTTTAGGTTCAAATTTTACTTAAAAATTAAAAAATTCGAAAAAAATATTTTACTAAATCAAAACCCTCTTCAGAATTTAATAATTTTTTGTTAAAAATATTTCCAAATGGTGGAAGTGAAGGATTTTGTAAAGAAAAATTAAAATTTTCATTGTTAATGCCTCCATTGGTTTCAGCTGTAGAAGTCTAGAAATTTAATTAAATTTTTTATTTGATACCCCGATTAAACAACCTCATCCCTAACAATACATTTCTCGCCTTGGCACATTCTTGATGTGATTAAAATTGTTCAAAAACTAATTAAAATATTTTAAAAAACTAACGAAAAAAATGTAAATAAAAAAATAATTTAATCAATTTTTATAAATTTATGTAAGCATGAATAAATAACTTTAATGTAAATTTCCCCTTTCTTACTCCCTAATACACTAATACGTCAACGGCAAATTTTAACTTAAGACAGATTTAAAATTTTCCAGTAATTTGCCGTAAAATTTAAAATTGTTTAAGGAATATAAAAAATGAAAATTGAGTTGTAAAATAAAATTCGAAATTATTAAATATTTATATTTTTTTGTTCTCTGAAAGCAAAAATTTATGTGTAAATCAGACTAGGATATGGATACGGATATGGATACAGATATTACAAAAATGCCTGCGGATATCCGCCTGTATCAGCCGTAAATATCCGGATACGGATACCAAAATCAGTATCCGTGTCCTAGTCTGGTGTAAATTATGTATCATTTTTGAAAGAATGAATCACCTACATAGCAGCATTTAATAGGCGGAGGTTAACGATCTAAAGGGATAAAAAAGCATAATTTAATGCCCCGGTAGCTCTGTGGTAGAGCTCCTGTATGTGGTGAGTGAAAGCTTAATAATTTTTGCTTTACATTTTTATGACTCAATAAGTAATGCATTTGTAAAATGAAAATTATTATTATTTCATAAATTTATTTTAAAAAATAATTTCTTTTTATTTTTCTTCAATTTTAACAATTTTTGTTTGAATTTTCTAAAAATTTTCCTGTTAATGTTGTTGATTAATAAATAATTCTTTTTGTGAATTTTCTGCAAAATTCGGTAATCCAATTGGAATAATATTTGTTACAAATTCTTTTTTTAAAAAATCTGTCAATTTATAAATATTTTAAATTACCGGAATTTTGTGGAAAGAAAATTTGTTGAGGGGAATTATTGTTTGATTGAAATAGAGGAGGGGGAAATTGGGGGGATAAATGTTGTTGTTGTGGGGGTGGTGGTGGTAATATATTATTATTTAAATATTTGGAATCTGTGGAAGGTACTATTTGTTGAAATTCTGGTAAAGGAAGTGGCAAACCTTTAAATATTTAAAAAAATAAAGGATTATAATTATTAAAAATTGCCGAAAGAAGGAGGTTTTGGAGATGTTGAAATATTAATAATAATATTTTTATTTGATAAAAGAGATGAAGAAATGGCAGAATTTGCACGTTCTGAGGCAGCAGAAAAACCAAGAAAGGAAGTTGTTTGAATGTAAAAATTAGTTACTTTAATACAACGACAATCATGCTAAATAAATTAATTAAATTATCCTTTAAATTTAAATAACCATTATTTGATTGCCAAAATCAAAACAATTTTGACACCAACCAACACGAAATAAATCTCTTAAATTTAATATAAAATACTTTATTAAGAAATAAATTTTCTACTTGCAGGATTGACTTAAAAAATCCCAACCACAACCAAGTTGTTCATATTGTTCGGGTTGTTTACTTTTAAAATTAGAGAAAAAGTATTAGATTTTAATAAAGATTAATTTAAAATTATTATTCTTTAAAAATATAAAAAAGTTTTCCCTCCCCTTCATAATCCACTAAATTCACTAATTTTAAAAATTTATATTCCATTTTCCAATTAAAGTATTTCTTTAAATAAAATTAATTTATAAATATCAAAAATACTTTTGAGATTGAGGCAAAGATGTTGGTATTTGTTGAGGAATTGGTAAACCAGGAAAGGTTAATAATAATGAAGGAAGTTGAGGAGATAAAGGAGGAGGAGGAGATAAACCATTTAAATTTATTGGCTAAATTAATCAAGATTAATTTAAAATAATTAAAAAAACTCTTAAAGAGGGTATTTGTGTTGTTGGTATTTCTTCTATAGAATATTCTTTAGTAGTTAAAGTTGTTCTTTTCATCATTTTGTATAATACTTCATCTGATTTAATATCTAATTCATTTAATGCCAAAGATTTTAAATTCTAAATAAATTATTTAATTAATTAAATTTTATGCCGAATTATTAATTAATTTAAAAATTAAATCTAAAAAATTCTGAAAAATCTAAATTCAACTTCCGCAAATGCTGGAATAATTATCCTGGGTAATTATTAGGGAGGATGTGCTGGATCTAGGGTATATCTCAATCCAATTGAGGCGAAATTGATTTATTTTTCCAATAATTAAATTTGATAGTAATTCTTTAAATATTTTTAAAGTTTGTGTAAAATAACTAGAGGGTAATTAATAAAGAGAGGGTAATTATTTCAACATTCACGGTAATTATTTTTTTTATTTTTGAATTTTCTTTCGATAATTATTAATTTGAATATTTTTTTATTCCAATTTCTATATCAAAATAAACTTCTTACCAAATAATTTTCATTTTCATATTTAACTTTTTGTTCAGACCTCCTTATATTATTTTTTGATAATTTTTTATTAAAAATACTATTATTAATATTTTTATTAACTTTTCTTTCTCTAAAAGAATTATTAGTAATTATTTTTATTTTTTCTTTTCTTCCTTCTTTTGTTGTTAACCACCAAAATTGGTTTTGATTATTTTGTTTTTTAAAATTATTTAATGGAATTATTTGTTTTTTGTTCCAATTAGTAGTTAATGAAAGATTTTCTGAATTAAATAAAAATAAATATTGAGAACGGCATTTAAGAGAAGGGGAAAGGGGCGTTTTAAAATTAATCAAAAAAATTTTCAAGATAATTTTCTCGTTATTAAAATTTTATCTAACTTAAAATAATTAGTATTTAAAACGGCAAAAAATTGTTTTTAAAAATATTATTTTAATAAAATAATTAAAAACTTTGAATTTGTTGAGTAGTGCAAGTAGTACAAATAAACGATAAGAATATAAAGATTAAACTAAATTTATTTAGAATTGCACAATATTGTAGATTTTCTATAAAAATAATTATTTTAAATAATTTAAATTATTTTCTAATGAATTTTATAATTAAAAATAATTTTTCTTCAAGGATTATAAAATAATTATTTTATTAAATTAAAAAGAAAATTAATTAATTTAAATTTTCAACAAACTTTTTTCTTTATTCTTTTCATTTTTGTTGTAGAAAGGATTTTTAATTACTTTTAATTTCATTAATTTTTGAAATAATTTAAATTAACAAAAAATAAATTAAAGTTTTTGTCTAAAATATTTTAATTTTTAAATAAAATTGCTAATAATAATTAACTGGATCCCCTGGAAACTTAGCGGATTTTTGGTCCTTTCTTGTTAAGTTCGAGGTTCTGAATTTGCTGTTTAGAAAAAAGTGATATTGAGTAAGGAAATGATTATTTCTTTAGGTCATTTTAAAAATAAAAATTAAAAATTTCTTTCTAAAAATAAATTTTAAGTAGGAAATTGGAAGAAAATTAAAAAATAAATAGGTAAGTAAATCCATCCTTACAATATCCACCAAAATTCTCCTTTTCATTTATCTTTTTCTCTTTATTAAAATTCGCTGTTACATCGATTGACTCAAAAAAGGAAAGATTTTAGGGGATCTCGCCGGAGATTTGACGACGCCGTAAGACGATTACGTTTATTTCTTTTTATGATTTTTGAGCTTTGGGGGATTTGTAAGAAATAAAATGGATATTTTTTGAGTAATTATAAATATGGATATAAATTTTTTTAAAGAATTTTAATTAAATTTAAAATAAATTTGAAAAAAATATGAAAGATTTTTTAAATTTAGCTCTCAAAAAATTAAAATAATTAATTTAAATTTTTAAACCCTAGGTTATTCTTGGCTACATGTCCTTGTATTTAACTTTGTTAAAGTAATTAATCATTGTAGATTTCTATTAGAATGTCTTCACAATCCTATTTTTTATCTTACATATTTTTTAAAAATTTATCCAAATAATATTTACAAATATTCTTTCCAATAAATTTTTATCCAAAGAAAACTAGTAAAAAGTTACAAAAAATTAAAATAATATTTTTTCCTTTCAAAAAAATTTTTTTCCAATAATAAATCAAAAGTAATTTCTTTTTACATAGTAAATATAATTTTTTACATATTTTTTTAATTAAAATACATTTGTTTTTACATTTCTTGTCACTATTCTGCTTACATTTTTATCACCAAATGTCGAATTTGGTGCTACACGAGAGTTATTGAAATGAGTAGTAATTCTTGTAATATTTGGGTCAATAAATAAAGATTTAATACTTCGACGTATATATTTATTAAATGTTATGTAAATTAAAGGAACAAGTCCTTAAAACGGCAAAAATAAACTTAATTTGATTTTATTTTTTTAACCTTGAGATGTTATCCAAGCATAACTTGCTGACATTACAATCCAAATAGGAACAGGGAAATATTGCATATACGTGTAGAGAAGTGTTACAAACATGTGTAACATACCTATAAGCAGTACTTGAAGGAAAACCTTAAAAGTATTATTTTAATAAAGAAGCAAGACGAATGAGATCTCTCTTAAGATCTTTACAAAATAAAGTTGTTACTCAGTAAATCATCTATTGTAGACTGGTGGTTTTAATTTATTAATTAGAAATTTACACTTTCTTGATTATTAACTTGGATTCTTTTTTAACAATTACAGTTCCAAAAACCAGCAAAATTAAAGTTTATAGTTAAGATTAAAAGGAGTTATTAACAGAAATTTTTTCGGAAATCTTCTTGCTGCCATGACGCTTATTTTATTTAAGGAATCTTAAATCGAGCTTAAACTTTTAGAATTCTAACACTCTCTCTCTTAATTTAAACTTACATTAACTTTACTTTTTCGTTGTTCTGCACTTTGTTGAACATTCCCAACTAATTTCATTTTTCTATACATTAAAATATAAAAAGTTGCATAAATAATTGGCAATCCAAACCCAATATAAATATTATGTCCAGTAAAAAGAATATTGTGATAATAAAAAAATAAAAATTTAGAAAATTAATCAAAGTTTCTCATTTACCACTCCTTCCAAATCTTGAAAATAAACAATATGTGGATTCCAAAACCAGCCAACTAACAATCCATTTGGCATTGGAGGAATTGTGAAAAACCCCAAAATAAATCCGTAAATTAATGAAGATATTATCCAATAATAAATTTTATTTCCCGAAAATATTTTTTCTGCCAGTTGATGGTCATACATTTCGATACAACGATTTAAAGCTAGAACCATTGCTATTAGAGATTCAGAACAATACAAACCTTTTAAAATGATTTTTAAATAAATCTGAGTAAAATATCAAAGGGTAATGCCAATGATGAATTGAGCTTCATATGTAGGTCTCATCGGAAACGAAGGAGAGACAAAATACGGAGCGAAGGAGATCCCCTCCCTATTAAGTGATTGTTATTTTTGAGTGTTAACATTTTTAAATAAGAGACATTTTCGAATAAATATCCCCTTCAAAATTAATAGGAAATAAAATTTTAAATTAAACTTTCCCTTACCAAAAGCGGGCATTCCAATAATATAATTAAATAAAGGTCTACTACAAAAAACATCCCCTCTAATTGCATATATCCCAATAATTAAACCGCTAGAATTTATATTAATCATTGACAATATTCCCATAAAAAGCATTAATTTATAACAAGATTCTCGAAGATTTTCTTTTTGTGCAAAAACCCCCAAACATGGCAAATATAAAACCTTTTTTTTTGAAAATTAATTTTTTGAATTTAAAAAAGAAAAGAAAAAACTTCAAAAATAACATAGAGAATCAACAAAATTATTCCAACAATTAAATTTCGTCTATTCTCTACAGGAATTGAATTATAATCGTAAAAAGAACAGTTATAGTTTCGTTCAAAATAATTACTGTATAATAAACTTTCCATTTAAAGAAAATAATTTTTAATTAAAATATGTATTTTTATTCTAAAAAAGCAAATAATGATGCGAATTTTTAAAAATAAATTTTTATTAAAGTTACAGAAAAAATTAACAATAAAAATAAAAATTAATAAAATTATAAAAAATAATTTTGTGTAAATGTTAATTCAAATAAAAATTATTATGTTCGTATATGCTCTGAATATATTTACGTATATGCTTATTGGTAATTTAATTTGTTTTCAGAATTTTTATTTGACATTTGATTTCTTTATTAAATTTAATTTATTCTCTCACTTTTATATGGGCATAATTAAACTTACAATTTAATAATCTAATAAATAAAAAGTCCCAAAGGAAAAAATTAATTAAATTTTGTAAAAAATAATTTTGGATTTTAATGTGAAAATATTATTATATTAAAAAAATTAAATTAAACATAAAAAATGATTTTATTGAAAATAATTTTCCACATGAGCATTTGGTTTTTTAAAGTTTTGGCTCTGATAATTAAAACTAACGTTGGAGATTATTATTAGATACTCCTATATTTTACTAATTAATTTGGTTGGCTATTTGGTGAAGCTGCCTAAACGATATTCCTTTTTTATATCGAGATTCTCGCTCAAAAAATGTCTGGAATTTTTCGAGAATCGGAACGGCAGGATCTATGATATGTAATAAAATAAAACTATTATTTAACCAATTTTTTGTTTATTAATACATAAAAATTTTAATTAAAAAAATAATACAATAAAAAGGAAATATTACAAAATTGTTGCATTATTTAAAATAATAAAAATATATTTATTTTAAATAATAGGAAATAAAAACTATAATTATATTTTTAATAGATAAAATATATTAATTTATTCTTAATTAACAATTCAGAAGAGATCAGAAAACTTGATAAATTGGATGTTTAGCTAAATTTAGAGATTTAAATTGAAAATGTACAAAAATTAATTACCGTATTTGCTCTATTAATCTTCCAGTCCTTTATTAATCCCCCAGGCTCTATTAATCCCCCACCCTGGAGATGGGTTGAAACAATAATCCCCCTCTTTCTACCCCACTCTAATAATCCCCCAGGCTCTATTAATCCCCCACCCTAGAGATGGGTTGAAACATTAATCCCCCTGGGGGATTACTAGAGCAAATACGGTAGTTCCATTACCCAAAAATAAAAAAACCCTATTTAATTAAAGGAATTGTTTTGACAAAAGGACCTTAAATTAAGAAGGAATAACACTTAATATTTTAATTTTTTAATATTTATTTATATTTCAACATAGTTGTTCAAATTCATTTTCCTCTTTCTTTTGTATTTCTGATGAAAGATTCATTAATAAAGAAGGTGAATTGACTGTATATAAATTATAAATTAATTTCTCATCATTAAATGTTAATTCATTAAAAATTTCAAATAAATCCTCAATATTATTATTTCCTTTAGCTAAACGAAATGATTTAAGTATTTTTGATGCCAAATGCATTTTTTCCCTTAAAAAAATTTTTTTTTGTAATTTTTAAAATTTTGTTAAATAACCAATTAATTAAATTTTGAGTTTGCAATCCTTCATAAATAAAGTCTAATTCCTTAAAGAAAAGAATTATTTTTAATTTTATTTTTAAGAGAGTCGGGAAAAATATAAGAAAGGCCATTAAGGAAATGTAACCAACCGGTTGAATAGAAACACGAAAGGAAATTCTGGAGGTAAGCCCGCCCTCTTCCCAGTGTCTCGAGATGATCCCAGGCAGGACTGATCCCGGACGAGATGATCCCGAACATAACGCTAATTTTGATAGCATAAAGAGTTACTCTGCCCATCCATGACCCCGGCCTTATAGGTGGTGCCCGGAGTCAATTCCTAGGTTTTTCCTTCCCTCAATTTATTTATTAAAGCACATACTTTGAGTATAAGTGGAATAAAAGGCACAAAAGGAGTTTTTAAGATATTAGACAAAAAACGATAATTTTTATATCCACGTTTAGGGCTCAATAATGATTGACATTCAGAATGTTGTTTAAATAAATAATTGGGTAATTTATTCCAAAGATAGTTTAATCTACTTATTGGCAAAGAACTTAAACCAAAATTTATGGCTGCCATAGCAAATAAATCCCTTTTTGTTTTTGCTAATTGAGAGAGTTGAATAAATGAACAAAGAATTGAAAGACGTTGATGTAAATTTGAAGCAAAAATAATTTCTGTAATGACCCATAATTGAATTTGATTAAAACGTCTCATTAAAAGGTCCAAATTGAATGGAGCCAATCGAGGGTGGAACTAGAAAATTAAATTTTAAAAGGAGAGACATTCAAAATTTTGTTAAATTAAGTAAGGTCCTAATTGAAGAATTTAATCCCGGGCAGGCTTCGATCCTGCGACCTCCTGGCAGTTATTGCTAGACACTTTCGCTCACCACGTATAGATGCTCTGCCAATTGAGCTACCGGGACGCTGCTTTCACCTTTTTTTAATAGATATTTAACCCCCGCTTAAGCGTTTTAAATGCTAAGCTGGATGGATCTTTCTCGTCCTTACAATGAACTAAATTTCTAAATTTGGAAATTTTTCTTGTCAAAAAACTTTACTTTATCCCTTCCAACCAAATGAACAATTAATTCATTTTCTGATGTAGCAAAAAATAATTTAAAATGAAATAAAGCAATAGCATTAGCTAAACGTTCAGGTCCTAATTGAAGAATTAAAGAAGAATAATTAGAAGGAGGAAGGCTTAACGGGAATTTAATTGTTGAAAACTTTAAAAAGAAATAATTTTTTTAAAAATGAAATAGAAAAACATTTTTTATTTTCTCCTCTTCCTCGGTTAAATATAAAATACTTCCACTAGCAATTATTAATGGAATAGAACATTCATTTTCATTAATTAATATTATACGTCCATCAAAACATAATTCAAATAATTTTTTATTTTTATTTTGTTCTTTAAATAAAATATTTATTTGATTAATTATTTCAAAAGTTTTTTGTCCAAGTTGGATTTTTTGGTTTATTTGTTTTCCAGAAGAAAGTAAAATTATTTGATTACCTTTTTGGAAAAATTTAAATTATTTTTTAAAAAATTTATTTTAAAAATACAAAAATCTGAAGAAATTAAAGAATCTGTTGAATTAATTGATGTTGAATTATTTAAATTAATATATTCACCACAATCAAGTACTATTTTTGGTGGTCGAGCAAGTCTTGAAAATTTTGAAAAAAATTTTTTAGTTATGAGATCAAGAGACAGCTATTTTAAATAGAAAATTAGGATTAATAATAGTTCCAGATAAACTATGATTGAAAACGTTAAAAATAAGCAAAAAACTTTAAATATTTATTACACCAAATAAGGTTGTCAGTTCGGGACCGAATCGAAAAACTGAGGAATTTTTTTCGATTCCAGATATCCAAAAATTTTCCAAGAATTAACACCCTAATCCCATATATATCATATAAAATAGTTTTGAGTTTCGTTTTCTTATTGTTCAAAAACTCTAGGGTCACAGTTTTGTCGGGAGGTCTCTAAAAGTTACACATAACCAAAGGTACTTGTAGATTTAAATTTAAAAAAGTACCTTTTCATAGAATTTTCTCTAAAACTCATTAATTCCTTCATTTGTTCAAAAATATTTAAAAATAAAGAATTATTTAATTTATAATCCTCCAATAAATAACTAAATAATTCTTCAACAAAAGAATTAATTATTGGATCATAAAATAATCTGTCACCAATTAATGAATGCCAAATTTTTAAAAAACTAATTGTTCTGTATTTAGCTAGAATTAATTTATTTTCAAAATTTTCTTCTTCAAAATCCTCAAAATTTTTATTTAATTGTCCATTTAAATAATATAATTTTAATATATCACAAAGTTTATTTGATTGAATCCAGAAAGGTAAAGTTAAAATAATTTCTTCAAATAAATTATCTAATTCTGGACGAGTTTCTAGAATATACTGAAATTTAAATAAAATAATTTAAATTTATATGTAGGTATATCCGTATATACTCTATTAATTACCCTAATTACTGTCGACCTTTATCTGGAGAGGGTAATTAATAGAGGTTATTTTAGGAAGGCTAATTATAACTATTTTTAAGCAGTAATTATTGTTTCAACCCTTCGCTGGAGAAGGTAACTAATAGAGGTGGGGTAATTATTTGAGGGAGGGTAATTAATAGTATATACGGTATATAAATTACTTCAATTATTTTTTCTGGCAAACCAGCAATTAAGGAATAGCCTCTAAAAATTAAAAAAAATTATTTTACTGGACAATTAACTTTATCCTAAATGTTTTAAAAATTAGAGAATGAAATTAAAGATCGCTAAATTTCAGTATAGGTAATTCAGACTTTTAAACGAGACAAAACGGAAAAACCCATCGGAGAAAATAACAAAATTGTGTTAAGTGCAAGGGTTGTTAATCTCTTAATCATTCCACCACCAACTTATCGTTTTCATTTTTTGCTTTATTTGCTAGGCCGAGGGGAATTAAAGGGGAAAGGGGAAAAGAGAGAAAAACCTCCAGCCTTACAATCAAAACTGTCTTTAAATAAAAAAAATAATTTACAAATTTTCAGAATCTTTCTGTAAAACCAGAAAATCTTCATTAAAATCTTGTATTTCTTGTTTTAATCTAATTGTTTTTGACTCAATTTCAGAAATTAATTGTTTAAAATCAAAAGAATTTATTTTTAATAATTGACAATCATTTTGTGAAGTTAAAACTGTTGTTTGTCTTAAATTATTTTTTTGTTGATTCCCATTTTTATATTCATTATTCAAAATTGATAATTTACCAAAATCATCACCCTCTCTAATTATTGACTAAAAATTTTAAATTAAAAAAATATTTAAAAATATTTAAAACTTTTTTTCCTTCAGATTTAGCTTCTAACGATCCATTAAGTACAGTATACCTAATGAATAAAAAATGATTAATCTAGGAAGGTAATTCCAAGGCTGGTCCCCCCCCTTTTTTTTCTATTCCCCTGACCATTTTGAGCTTTTTGCTTGGCATATAATTTTCAATATATCATTCGAAAGAGCTGTTCGAGCTGAGTAGAATGATACTATGATCGGTTAGATTTGGCGAATCTGAACAGATTTATGAAGCTAAATCCTCGAAGGACGTGCTTTTTGTGATGCTGAAAGGGATTAAAACAAATGCTCATAGCTATGTTTATTTAAGTCGGATTTCGATGAATCTAGTACCGTTCGACTCAGCTCGAAGAGCTCTTTCGAATGAGATGTAATTTGCCATAAAAAGTTTAAATAATCGAAAAAAATAGAAAGGAAAAAAAAGGGGGGGGGACCAGCCTTGGAATTACCTCTAGGAATACTATTTCTAAAATTATTCACAACATTTACAGACAAAAGTGAAGCTTATTTAAATTAGGGTTTGATACTACAAGGCGGAGGCTGGGCTTATGTGGAACGTGGGTTGCGGTGAATTCAGGTTCGGGGACAGGGAAATTCGAACCGCGGGGACGGGGAACGAGGGCTCTGGGAGGAGGCTTCACCCCGTCCCCGGGGATCGAATCCTAATTTAAATTGAAAAACGGAGACAATCTTTTTGTGAAAATAAGTATTACCAATTACCGTATTTACTCGATTAATACCCCTGGGGAATTATTTTTTCAACCCATTCGTGGCATGGGGAATTATTCAAGGGAGGGGAATTATTCGAGTTTTGAAATTTGAACGTGTAATAGGGTATTAAAGGGAGTGGAATTATTTTTTCAACTCATCCGTGGATGGGGAATTAATAGAGGTTGGGGAATAATTCGAGGGTGGGGAATTAATCGAGTAAATACGGTATTTATCTCTTTAGTAGACTGATCCCCACAATGTTTTTAATTGAATTAGCCTCTTTTAAAAGTCAAAAAACAAACCAGCAATTAGCTAAATCCCCCTTTTTAAAAATAATTGTGCCCGCATATTCAACAATTTCCAAACAAATAATTTTAGCAATTCCTCTTTTAATTCCTTTACTTAAATAACTGAAACCGCGAATATAATTAATTTCTTCTAAAATTAATTTTAATTCTTCTTCTGTTCGATAATCTTTTCTTTAAAAGAAAAATTAATTTTTTAAATTTATTTTTAAAAAACCCTACGGTTTTTTAAGAATTGTTTGTAAAAGAGAATCCCTTCCAGAATTTGCAAGAAAAATTAAAGAATTAGCTAATATTTGTTTATCAAAATATTTTAATTTATTTTCTGATGTTGAGGGTAATGACCAATAATAAATTGAGGAAAAATTGAATTGGGGATTGTGATCAGAATTTTTTGAAATAATTAATAAAGAATTGTCTAGCAATAATTGACCTATTCCCAATTCTATTAAATAATTTGAAGGTAATGGAATATTAAAACAATCAATCCAAATATTTATTAATTTATCACAAAATTCTGAACCTGTTAACTAAAAAAATTAAAAATATTTTTTTAATTTTATTTGTTAATTTAGAGATTAAATTTGGAAAGGAGAGAATTGGGCGAATAAGTATATTCGAAACAATTCGGGGGTGTTTTACTAAATGTTCATTTTGGTCGGAAACTTTTAAATTACCGAATTTTCTCGAATAATTCCTAAGTGATTATTATTATTACTTTATTATTACCCTTTATTACCTCTTCACGCTATGGGGAGGGGAGGGGGAGTAATTAATCGTTAATTAATTATTCGAGGGAGGTAATAATCGAAAAAGTACGCTATTTGTTTTTTAATAGAAAAAAAGTAAATTATTTTTTCGATAAAAGGGCAATCCTAGAGGAATATTTAAGGAACCGACCGAAACGCTGATTTGATGCTTTAATGAAAAAATAAATTATGATTTTTATAAATCTCTAGAAATTTTTAATTAAAAAATTTTTCTTTGCCTGTTGACTAGAATTAGACATTTCATTTGCAAGAATTTCAGCAGCAAAGAATAATTGTTTATCATCATATTGAAATAAATCTTTAATTTCCAATAAAAACCCATTTTCAATATTTTTACTTTCAATTTTTTCTTCATTTAAATTATTTATTTTTTTATTTTTTAATTGTTCATTTTGTTGTAATTTATTGTTATTATTTTCTTTTTCTTCTTTTGTTCTCCTTTTCTTTTCATTTGGTAATTTTGGAAGTTGTCTGTTACTTTTTGGGGGGTTTTGAATATTATTATTATTTAAATCTTCCATTAAAACAATACAAGACTGTAATCTGTCTGCCCATTTCTTTAAAAAATTTATTTTTTTAATTAAAAAAAAATTTTAAACATTGTAAATGAGAAGAAAATTATTTTGGGGAATTCTGACAAATTCTGCATTTTTTAAGATTTTTGCTGAACAGGAGTGTTTGTGACATGTTTGTAATGCTCCAAATAAAGTACCCGGCCCTATAATTTTAATTTGCTGTTCAATAAATTTATTATCGCTTTGCGATGTTGTTTGTTCAATGTATAGTTGGACTTCTCCCGTAAGAAGTAAATACCACCCTTGTACACATTCGCCTTGCCGAAATACTAAAAAATTTGAAAAAAAATATTTTAAATTAAATAACATGGGAAATATGTATTTACTATTAAATGACTTTAAAATTTTGTTTAAATAAAATATTTAGTTTTAGTGTTGTATTTGGCCTCTTGCTTCAAGCTCTATGAAAATAAATCAGGCTCTAGCCATCTCAAGGGACTGGAGCTTGATTCTCAAGGGGAAGGAATTTTAAACAGTAATCTCTTGGCCCATGAGCTACTCAGGCATTTCGAGCAGTTTTTCGACTTTTGGCCTATTGCCCTAAATAGTTTCATCAAGCAATATTTAGTTCGATCAAAAATTAATTTAAAAATCACAAAAACTCACAAATAACTCCTTTTGGCACTGAAATAGGCACAGGGTCAGATTTAGCAAGTAAATAACCAAATAATTGGTCGGGTAAAGATTTTAAATTATTTAAAGAATGTAAACGATCGAGAAGTCTTTGATATTGTTGCTCTCTTTGGGTATACATATTTTTGTTTGGATGGAGGTAGTAAAAAAACAATGAGAAACAACAATTAGAAATTTTTTTTATTTTGGAAGAAGGCACTTAGTATTAGCAATTTTCTTCAAGTTAAATTAATTTTATAAAAGTAAAACAAAAAAGTTTGACATAAAAATAAAGAAGAGAAAAAAAAGTAAAATGTTGATAGTAAATTTTGGAAAATAAATTAAATAGTAAAAAAATATTTTTTGCAAGAAACAGTTAAAGTGAAAACAAAATTCTTAATTATTCTATTGTCTCTTAGCATCTTTTTAATTGTGGATTTATTTTTATTAGCAAACCACTTAAATTATTGTTTATTTGTTTAGTTTTGAAGAAAAAATAAATTAAAATTATTTTTAAATTAATTAATTAAATTTTTGGGTAATAAACTTTAGTTACTGTAGGGAAGAGAATGATCCAGCTGGCTAGCATTTAAAACGAGGTCGCAGGATCGAAGCCTGCCCGGGATTAAACTTATACCTCGCTCTTACTTTACTCAATTTTTTCATTAAAAATATTCCAAAAATATTTTTTTACAAATATATTTAGATGTAAACAGCATAAAAACAATGTTTTATCCCAAGAGAATATTATAATAAAATTTTCCCTATATACAAACATAAATTGAAAAAAAATAAAAGAACAAATATATACCCTCTAAAAAACAATACTAAACAAATAAAAATAAATTTTATACAAAAAAATAAAGCATAACAAAGGGGGAAGGGTTGAATAAAATGCCCGATTGTCCTTTTGCCGGGTGGATTTAGTGTAGCAGCTGGCATTTATTTATATCGATTTTTTCTTGCTCAACATGGTAGTGGCAAATACTAAGGTATAAAAATATTGGCTTTAGATATGCACAAAATTTTTAATTTGTGTATGTTATACATGGAATATATGAAATTTAGATTGGAAACTCGTCAAAAAATCTCTCCAACGTTTTTTTGGGTCGGGAATCTTCGATTCCCGAAAACTAAAAAAATTCACGTATCATTAGTCTATATTTTACATTGGCAGGATTCTCGATATCGGCCTAATTCTATTATTATCAATTAATATGACTGGACCTTCAAGCAATAAAAACAACTACTTTCGCTTCAGGTCATAATGGTCTTTTTTCATTTTATCCAAGACGGTCTTTTGTCTGTGCATCTTTTGTCAAATGGTAGTTTGTCTCACGTTTATCTGGCTTCAGACACTTAGGCGTAATAAAATTTTGTCAAAGAAGAAAGTCGGAAATTTTTAATAAAGATGTTTTTCCCTATTCAAATCATTCCCTCAAAATATATTTTAAACGTTTCTTTGTTCTTTATTTTACAATATATTTTCCCAACCATTTAATTTATTCCTCTACTAGCGGAGTTGGTCGGCCTTCGGCCGCCCCACCCCGCTAGCAAAAACAAAACAGACCAAAAAACAAACTCCTAATCAACTTATCACAACCTCAAAATTGGTCCTAATCCAATCATAATCAGAAAAACCCGATTATCATAACATTGACCAGCATTAAAACATTTTCTGATTACCAATACATTTAACAAAGCAAAGCATCTAATAGGTGCACCTGATAAAGTAAACACAGGCGTTGTGTGACTCCGCTAGCATAACAAAACAATTCACTCAAGATCCGATTCAAAAGCCTTTGGCCGGCACATCTCGCTTACACATTTTTTCTACTCACAATTCCACCTGCTCCACAATTCCCTGTTTCGATATTCCCCTGCTTCGCAATTTCCCCTTGCCTCACAATACCGCCTGCTTCACATCCCCCTTCATTCCCTGTTTCAATATTCCTCCAGCACCAAAATTCATTTGTTTCAATATTCCGCCTGCTTTACAATTCACCTTGCCTCTCACAATACCGCTTGCTTCACAATTCCCATTGTTCAATATCTCGCCTGTTTCAATATTCCGCCTGCTTCACAATTCCCCTTGTTTCAATATTCCGCCTGTTTCAATATTCCACCTGCTCCACAATTCCCCTTGTTTCAATATTCCGCCTGCTTCACAACTCCCCCTGCTTCACAATCCCCCCTGTTCAATATTCCGCCTGAATGAACTTTGCGCCTAGCACTTACAAATGAACGTTGACGCCTATCCCTTAACAAATGAACGTTGACGCCTGGCACTTCAAGTGACGTTGACAGCTAGCGCTTGACACATGAACGTTGACGTCTAGTACTTGACACATGAACGTTGACGCCTGGCACTTGACAAATGAACGTTGACGCCTGGCACTTCAAGTGACGTTGACAGCTAGCACTTGACACATGAACGTTGACGCCTGGCACTTGACAAATGAACGTTGACGCCTGGCACTTCAAGTGACGTTGACAGCTAGCACTTGACACATGAACGTTGACGCCTGGCACTTGACAAATGAACGTTGACGCCTGGCACTTCAAGTGACGTTGACAGCTAACACTTGACACATGAACGTTGACGTCTAGTACTTGACACATGAACGTTGACGCCTGGCACTTGACAAATGAACGTTGACGCCTGGCACTTCAAGTGACGTTGACAGCTAGCACTTGACACATGAACGTTGACGCCTGGCACTTGACAAATGAACGTTGACGCCTGGCACTTCAAGTAACGTTGACAGCTAACACTTGACACATGAACGTTGACGTCTAGTACTTGACACATGAACGTTGACGCCTGGCACTTGACAAATGAACGTTGACGCCTGGCACTTCAAGTGACGTTGACAGCTAGCACTTGATACATGAACGTTGACGCCTGGCACTTCAAGTGACGTTGACAGCTAACACTTGACACATGAACGTTGACGTCTAGCACTTGACAAATGAACGTTGACGCCCAGCACGCAAGAGTACACAGGACTCCAGCAAAAGTTGACGTAGAACAGAGCACACAAAGTTGAGAAGTGTTGGTAGCAGTTAAGAATGACCAAAATACCCTGCTTTTATACCATTTTCTTACCCTTACAACCTAATTCGACTGGCAACGCTTTACTATAAAAGCCCCCATTTCCTCACTCCCCCAATCATTTTACTATAAAAGCCCACTTGTCTATAAAAGGACAGACAGACACACACACCCTTCTCAATTATATAATAAGATATTTTCTTATCAACCTTTTTCTTAACGCATAAATCGAACTTTTACATATTTAACCTTTCTTTACTTTCCGCCCTCTTCACTTATAAATAGATTCTTGTACAGGGTGTTTCAACTAAGAAATACTATTTGAAAACTCAATAATTTTTTACTAAGTCGACAGATTTTATAGATATTTTGTATTTAATATCTATATTTTATAGCATTTTTTTTGACATAAAAATTATGTCTAAATTCGAACCCTAACCCGAGATAATTTCGTACTCTACCGTTCTGTTTTTCCCTTTTTCCGCACATGCATTCTTACTTCCCTTTATTTGTTGTAAGGGGAGACAGACACTAGAGTAAATACTAGGCGATAGACACTACATTTTCAATACAGTATCCACTCTTCGCCATACACAGGAAAATAAATGAAGTAAGATAGCACACAATGAAAAGAGGGAAAAAAGAGAACGGTTGAGTACGAAATTGAAATACAGGGTTAGGATTCGAATTTAGACAAAATTTTTATGTCAAAAAAAATGCTAAAAAATATAGATATAAAATACCAAATTTCAGAAAAATCTGTCCATGCAGTAAAAAGTTATAGATTTTTAAAATAGTATTTCTTAGTTGAAACACCCTGTATTTCTCATTTCTTTTTGTAAGTAAATTGTTTTATTTTTTATTTTTTTAAAGTTTTATTATTGATACTTACATATTACTTCCCCCTGCTCAGCTTTTTTTTGTACAATTTTGGAGTTCCTTCAATTCCGATATCGTTTCTTGCATAATTTACAAAATTTCCCCTTCAATAATTTCACTTTTTATTTGTAACCGTCTTTAAAAATAAAAAATAAACATCGATTTATTCAGTCATTTACTTTTGGCAAGGGCAAACGTGTAAGACAAGCAATTAAAAACAAAAAAACTCCAAAGGGTCCCCCTATAGAATTTTAAATTTTTCAACGGAGGTTTTTGCGGGTTTATATCTCTGTTGATTTCGTTTTCTAGAAATAATTCTTATATGATTATGGGAATACATTAAAGATTACCTTTACTTTTTTTTATTTATTTTAGATGTATTAGCTATTAGTTTAGTTTCTTTTTCTTTCAAATTTGCACTTCACTAATGACAAAATCTTGTGTAAAAGATTACTATGAAATTATAAATGTTTCTATGACAGCATGTAGTGATGAAATTAAAAAAGCATATAGAAAACAGGCTCTAAAATTACACCCAGATAAAAATCAAGATGATTGTTCTGGGGACAAATTTAAGGTTTTAAATTTATTTTAAAGTTCAAATTATTTTCTGATAGAAAATTTCACTTAAAAACATTTTTCGTCTAGTTTTGTCTGTTAATTTTAGGCTCTGCAAGAAGCATATGAGGTTCTATCTGATCCTGCAAAAAGACGAACTTATGATGCAAAACTTGGAAATACTACACATTTGGCAGATATTTTT